ACCCGTATGGCTTGCTATAGGGTTATTCTGTCATAAGTTTGTCGTTTGATAACGACATACATACGGCAAACGTAGGACGAACAAACGCCGAAAGTACGACACAGCAACTGACAAAAAACGACAAACCAAGTCGTCGTAGGTTTGTCGTTTTTAGTATGGTAATTTTGTCTTCAAAGCGACACTTTTCACGCCAAAATAACGACAAACAAACTACAAAATGATCTCTACGGCGGAAAAAAGGCAGCCCGGACGGGAGTCGAACCTCTGACCATGCGGTCCAGAACCCGACGCCCGAACACGCTTGGCCAAAGTGGATTCGTGGTAGGAGGCGTGTGGGTGTTCCCTCTAGTGCTGCAGCAGACATCTGCGACTATCACCACATACGTGAGTGTTTGTACAAAATGCGGAACAACCGAAAAGGCATTACCCGTTTTAAAGCACGGTAGCGGAGGTCGTGTGGCATCATCAGCCCATGGCGGCAGTCCTTTGACGAGATCACAGATAGTACAACACTCTGATCGGGTTGGATGAAAATCAAAGTCGCAGCCGTGCCTGCTGCGGCACTAGAGGGAACACCCGCACGCCTCCTACTACCACGAATCCGCTTTGGCCAAGCGTGTTCGAGCGTCGGGTTCTGGACCGCATGGTCAGAGATTCGACTCCCTTCCGGGCTGCCTTTTTTTCCGCCGTAGAGATCATTTTGTAGTTTGTTTGTCGTTATTTTGGCGTGAAAAGTGTCGTTTTGAAGACAAAATTACCATACTAAAAACGACAAACCTACGACGACTTGGTTTGTCGTTTTTTGGCAGTTGCTGTGTCGTACTTTCGGCGTTTGTTCGTCCTACGTTTGCCGTATGTATGTCGTTATCAAACGACAAACTTATGACAGAATAACCCTATAGCAAGCCATACGGGATAGTCAGCAGTGAGATTTTAATTGGGCCAAAGGGTCGTCGGCGGAAATAACGAGAAAAAGTAGAGTTGCAGAAAACTTTGAATCCGACTACGACATACAGCGCTGCGTGCAGGCCGAAGGCGCCGTGGCCCCAGTTCTTGTGCCAAAGTATTGTACATACATTGTACTCGATCCTCTGTCAAATACTTTCTCTTGAATCAAAGACATACGCACTTAGAATGTCAAGGATAAAGTACAATGATACTTCGGTCCAAGAACTCAG